GCTACTATTTGTACTAGTACAAATAAAAATAAAAATTACATGCAAGAATAAAAGCTCAGACAGGGAAAAATTTATCTGCGACCTAAACCTACTAGAGTGGTCAAAGACTCACCTAGGTTACTATAGTTAAGATATAGTTTAAGGAAAAACTGTACTTGGCCCAGTGTACAGACCAAGTATTAATTTTCTTTTTGGCCTGGCCAACCGGTGGACAGACTCCAGTATGTGAGTGTAATTGATCCGGTAATTCACATAGACAAGAGTATGTATATAGTTGTTGTGTACGGTTAATGTTTTTAGATTGTTGGTTTAGGCTTAAAGTATCAGAAGTTGGATCATTAGATTGTTGAGTAGAGTTAGAGTTGTTGTAATATGGAAAGGTTAGTTGTTGTTGTTTCTTCCAATTGGCAAAGTTTGTGCAGTAAGGTTTCCATACTTGTTCATATAATTGTTCATTAATTTTAAGAAGTAGATTGATTATAATATTTGATGCTGTCTTATAAGGAATATTATAGTCTTGAATAGTTTGAATTAGAGATCGGGGAATCAAACCTTTAAGAGTAGGCTCTATATGAAATGAATAGGATTGAGGTGCTATATTATAGAATGCTTCATGTTTGTAAATCTTTTGAATTAAATTATCTAGTTCATTATTAGATATATCAAGTTCAACTGAGTGAAGATAATTTGTAGTAGTGGATAGAATTAATTGGTGAAGTAAAGAGGGGTTAATACAAGTACGCCAATGGGATGGAGAATCAAGAGAGTTGCAGTGAAAACAGTTATCACTTTGAAAAGTTTTGGGATATAGTGTGTGATAAAGTGAATGTGTAGGCAACTCATTAAGTAGTGTTTTAATTTTAAAAGACTTGAGCTGATTAAGTTTGAAATTGGTAAGATTGTATGTGGGTTTGTGATTATGATTAAAGTAGAGCCATGTAGATCGCCAATCAATTTGTTGGTTGAGTGAGGACCATTCGTTATTTCGTTTTTGGGATGACCACATAGCTAGGATGTGGGCTTTACAGATAGTTTTGATAAAGTATCTGGTGGAGTATTCAACTGGATGTAGTTCCTCTTCCCATTGCAAGATGTGGTATGGATTGTAGG